ACAAATGGAAATATAGACTGAAGATACTTAAGTGACATTCCGAACATATAAGTCGAAGAGGAACAAACTGACAGAGCAATGGCATAAGACGAAAAACGACAAAAAGAGAAAACTCTACATCGTATTTACAAACTGTAGAGCAAAACAATACTAGCTTTTATCAGACAATAGAAATTGGAACATACGTTAATGATGTTCGCTACTCTGTTTGAAAATAACAAGCTTTTTATATGACTGTTATAAATTGATAGTATTTAAATAACAGAAATCAAAAAGCAGAAAAAAATGATAGGGCCACGATCTTGTTTTTGAGATATACTAGTAATCAATTGAAAATTTGGCGGGAAATGATTCTCTCTAGATTTGTCATACATTTAACATTGGCACCTTTTTCTTTCAAAAACTATGAAAAAATAACAAGCATTGTATAAGATTTTCAAATATGGCTTCTTAAACTATATGTAATAAAATTATAAAAGAAAAGTAGGGGTTAGCAAGCAAAATGTTTTAATGGCAATACATGGATAAAACCAGAGGATTCCCAAAATCTAGCAAAAATTCAAAAACAATAGGAGCGAACATCCTTAAAGTCGGGAGTTTGGTCTTTCATACAGTTTTGGTTTTAGAATTAAGTTAAAGGCAATGTGAACCCCTATATTTCTGCCTTCAGTACACCGGCCATATGCTCACGTGCTATTTAAAAGAGAAAATACAAAATGACAGTTGAAACATATTTGTATAGTAATATAAAAATGAGACAAAGTAATCCACTAACTATTCCTCAACGACACAGGATTCCTTATACTAACTCTATTGTGATACCTGGTCACGTTCGTTCATGTAAAGCATATAGCCGTTATAATTGTTTTGAGGAAAACTAATAGATTACAAATCAGATGTATAGTCTTCCTAATACCAATAAGAAAATTTGTTTCATTTTTTGTGTAGTGCTTTGTTGACTGCTGTTTTTACTGTTTGTCTATTTGTCTGTTTGTCTGATTTGATCTTCTTCTTTTTTTACTCCAATTCTTCGACTTGTGATTTTTTTATTCAGTAAATGCTGTATTATTGGTGCCATTGACCAGTACTTCGTCGGAAGTAACATTTGTAAAATAGCTAGTTGATAGTTGTTGTTCGTTAATTGTATGCTTTTATTTTTTGGTAAAGTTACTAAACTAAAGATTACAACTCCCCCTGGCAAATCACCCTTTACTGATTTAAACTCTCATTTTTATGCCTTCTTCAAAAACTTTTTGGACTTTTCTGACTTTCCTTAATGTAGTATCTGTTACTTTAAAATTGTAGCCGTAAATGCCACCTAATTTGTCTGTCTAGTACAGTCATAAGTTTTCAATAAAGTTGACTACGTGAACCTTAGTCACACTGATAATCGTATACGTCCGTCAATTCAATGAATATCAATAACGTTAGTGACCATGTGCACCTTACAAATAGTCTGGCATATAAAGTAAAATATCTCTCTGTTTGAACTAGGAGTGCAGTAAAGTCGATATACAAATTATGTAATTGACTTTGTGTAAATTATTTGACTTGTATTCGACAGCAGGACGTGCAGGAGGACAGGAGCACCTTAGTTGTCAGTAACTTCATTCAACGGATGACAATCAATACATCTAAGTGAATTAAACGTTATCTTGATAAGACCTCGTTGTTACCGAATTAGATCAAATGAAATACAGTAAGAATTGTAATAAAATGGCATTTGCTTGTCAATAGTTAGACTATTAATGCGGTTAGAAGTTAGCAATTTGTATATTGTTGAGCCAAACACTGTTCTTTTCGTAGACAAATGAGTTAAGTTTAATTAAAAGCTAAAGAAAATGACATTTTCTATTTAAAGAAATTTTACATCGAAATCTATATTGAAATTGTTACAAAATGAATAAATCACAAAATTATGAGTTTACAATCACAGGTCCATCCGACAAAGTACAAACTATCCCCACAAGAAATATTGACATATATAAAAGAACGGTCACATTTGTTATGGGTCTTATTTAAATGGTATGTTGTAGGTTGTACCCTTACTTATGGCGTTGAGCCTGATACGTTTACATTTGTACATGAAAGTCTTCATGGTTTCATTTGTAAAAAAAAAAATTGAAGCATAATGAGAAAAAAAAACAAACGTTATGAACATATCAAGTGAAAACGTATCAAAGAACAAGAAGAATGAAATAGAAATAAATAAGTAAAATAGATAAAAATATGATATTGGCACTTGTGTATTCATTACAATTTTATTTTGATCTTCAAACGATTTTTGGTTTTATTATACACTTAAGTTCTCTTACAATTTTTCCTTACTAATGATGTGAATTTTAGAGTGTATCTAACGAGAATAAGATTGTCTTCACAAAGTTAATTTGTTGAAACAGGCCGTTACCACGGTGTTGATAGATCAGCAAGAAAATGAACTCTCTGTACTTTTTAATACAATAGAGGACGAATTTCATTTCATTTTTCAGTGTGATTGTTATAATACAATACGGAGACAGTACATTAAGCCATATTGTTATAGGCGTCCATCGTCATTTAAGCTTGTACAGTTGTTAAGCTCAGAAAATGGAAAAGACACATGTAACCTTTGTAAAAAAAATGTCCATGCATTTAAAAGTAGAACAGACTTGTAATGATCCAATACTTAATATAGATCATTGTTCTTCTCTGATATATTCATTTATCAGTTATGTATTATGACTTGTGTTTATTTATCAGTTATTGTATTTGCATATATGTTTTACATGTCATTGTGCTGATGAGCATTATTTGCTTAAAGTATTAAAGAATTGATTTGAATTGAAGGTGCTGTCTCATCATCTTATGGCAAACCTAATCAAATAAAACTTTCTAAGCCAAGTCATACACGTTACAAATAATCACAAGGTATTCTGAAAAGTATGAAATAAAATATGTTTGTCTATGAGACAAACATTCATTTACCTAAAGTAAAGGGCGAGAGAGGGAAAATCATCAGGTCATCGTAGACATAAAAAATGAAAACAACACTTTATAAATTTCATGCGTCCGAAGTGCTTTTATCGATTTACCTTCACCAGAAACGTTGTGAAGTATGACTTATATTAAACAAAAAGACACACAAGTAAATGTTACTTTGTAAGCAATAAAAAGGGTAAATCAGATGTCAAAAAAAAAAAGAAGTATCAAAAGAAATTATATTGGATTCCCTTACTATGATATAAGGTTTTATTCTTTGTGAATAGTCTGATTTCTCCGCGAACATATTTACTATTTTAGTGGATCGTGGTCTTTGTTTTATTTTTGTTCTTGGACTATTTCTGAATAAATTAATTTACTTACTCAAATAATTACTCATCTCATTACTTTATCCATCTATGCATCGCAGTTGTCTGTACTCGTCCAGTTCAATTTCTTGCACAATGTGTCATTCGTTCTAACCATATATAATGTACATCGCATATTATATTGATAACGTTTGATTATGTCTATTTTTATGGACATGGATTTCCCCTTTATGAATTTACCTTGGAGTTCGATATTTTTATTCATACTTTTTTTGAAACTCTAGTAATTGTTTCAAGCGGCAACACTATAGTTACGTACTTATCATGCTTATAGGAATAACATTGTTGTACTATATATTGCTGCGGTGTAGGGTTTACTAATCATTACTGGATCTTTGTTTATAATTCTTATGTTTGAGTTAATATCATTTAGTATGGTATTACGTCACAACAGCAACATCCGGTGTACAGGAATAATTCTGTCAACATAAATTGACCTTGTTGACCTCGACCTACTTCGCAAATAATTAATTTCTCAACAGAATTAATAATTGACCATTTATATGTATAATTTCTCATAACAATGGAAAATTTCAATTACGACATTGACGTGTGTACGGCATTTTACGTTGAGAAGTGCTGAAACAAGTTCCCAAGAGACAAAGTTGACAAATAAATTAACATTCTGATGCCCGTTCTCTTTGGTGGGAGGTGAGAAGCATTCGATCCTCTAAATCAAAATTGCATAATACAATGTAATTTCTACAACTAGTTTTCAATATATAATATTTAGATAGAGCATAAGATGGAATTTGATTGTCTTAGTATTGTGATGTATTTGTCTGTTGTTGTCGAAAACATTTAGATTGGTTAATAGCTCTATTATACAGTCAGGAATATTTGAAGGAATTTAATTTGACGCATTTCTTCTTGTGAAGTTTGCTATACTAAAATGCCTGGAACTATGTTTGATACTGTTCAGGTATTGTTTTTTTTTTATGTTTGTCCATTTAAATTATTTTACTATTTTTTAGTTAAAAATTAAAAGAAGAATTTATCATACTATTAATTTTTTATCAACTAATTATATATATATTTGGGTTTTTTTAAAGGAAAAAAGTACAAGAAAATAAGTACAATGTGGCCTGAATGAAGTGTTCTCAAATAAGAATCAATGCCGAAAGGATTAAATAAAACATATCATTTGTGAAAATTGAAAACAAAAAAGTTTTACCGGCATTCGAATAAACATTCGGCGAAAGAAATCAGCTGCTTTCTTTATAATATGATGCATATATGCTTACAAAATACTAATAAGACTAAAACACACACAAAAAAACACACTTCTTTGTTGAATACATCTAGCAAATCAACATTTAACTATACAACTATAAATTATAGAAATAAGACCGAAATTCGTTTTCTATCAGTCCACACTTAATGTGGGTGGATTTTTCGAGTTTACTTGTATGCTTTTTAACTCCTTTTAAAATGATTCGTTTTACCAACATTCTTTCATTTTTTACCCTTTTTTTCTTTGGTTTTCATTTACTTTATCTTATATGTTTTTGGTAGTTATACAGATAAAATGATCTTTATTCTGGGATATATATATATATATATATATATATTCATAAGGTTCATCGTTACTTAAGTTTTGTATATGCTAATATAAAACAAATAAATTTCTATTCATTTGTCTTTCTGTTGCAGAAACTCGCAGCTGGTTCACTCACATTTGCCAAAGCATATTCCAATGGAGAAGCCAAGTCACAAATCGACCATCTTGAACAGGAACTTGAAGAAGAGATTAAAAGGGACACTAAATCAGTACCCGACACCAAAGTAGCGAGGTAACTTACAAAGAGAGTCTCACAATGTGCAATGACGCTTAGTTATTTTTTCTTATAAAAATAATGAGACGAGGAATGATTGCCAATGAGAGAACTATTCACCAGAGATTAAAGTAAGTGGATCTTATCAACTATTGATCACCATACTGCCTTCAACAATGAACAAATCATATCGTATAGTAAGCTATAAATGCCTCAGTATGACAAAATATTAAATAAACGAAAAACAAATATGCCAGACAGCAACCAACGACAACCACTGAATTACAGGCCTCTGGCGTGGACAGACACATAAAAAATGTGACGGGGTTAAACATGTTTGTTAGCACTCAACCCTACCCTAACCTGGGCCAGTGGTGTACAGCACAGCATAAATATAAACTGTAACAATCAGTTGGAATGAGCTTGACTCATCAGATGAGTGTTGTTATTGACCAATGGAAAGTAAAAATATTAAAGATTTTCTTTGACTTTAATCGATATAAATAAAAATACACAAAACACTCGTAAAACACAAACTTTTGAAATTATATGTTTTAGTTATATTTTGTTCATTCGTGCCTTAGAAATTTCATAAACGATTCAACCCTATTTAACAGTAAGAAAAAAAAAACGGAAATCAATAATTACATCTTAGCTAAATCATTTATAGCTTCATATATAGGAACTTGAAGAAACACCTATATTACTAATAAGAAATTATTAACAGAGCCAAAGGAAAATTACTATGTTCCGACTGAAAAGTAAATAATAATAAGGGGATTTAGAACAACTGTATAAGAACGTCTAATATAGAGATATTAAAAGTTGACATAAGACAGAACTGTTTTCTGATGATGTAGAGTCTGTCTAGACATGGTATGATTATCTGATCTCATTTAAAGAAGAAAGATTTGCAATATTTGTGTTTGATTTCAACTTGAAAGTGATAGTACTTTTTTCCGTTTACTTAAAACAAGCGTTGCCCTCAAAACGTACATGATGAATATTATATTAGAAAAAAAGCTGTGTACGCAGTTGATTAAGAAACTTCTACATGTACCTTTGTGTTTGGATTTATATGAATATATAAAGGATTGTATATTATATTTTATCAGTAAAATATTGACATACGACAATGAGTCAGTAACTTACAATAGCAACAATCATTTAGATAATATTGAGAATGGAAACGGGGAATGTGTCAAAGAGACATCAACCCGAACAAAGACCAGAAAACAGCCCAAGGTCATCAATGGGTATACGAATACGAAAGTTTTATTTTGATTCGGTTCACATATAACAATACAAACATTAGCTCTTAATAGCTTTTTACCGAATATAAATAACATATACATAACATTAAAACACAGAACATGCAGATAAGATATATAAGCAGCAATTATTATTTCAAATGCATAAATACAGCACAGCCATATTGAAATACATGCAAATCACTACTAACTACACATCTAAACATGCCAAAAGCTGAAGCATAACTAAAATTGAAGCACAGCTAAAAGTTAAGCACAACTAAAAATTTTAAAGCACAAATAAAAAAAAACACACATGCAAAATTTAGGGCATAATGCAAACATTTAGAGCTATAACTTAAAAAAAATATTTGAAAAGCTTATCTACATGCAGAACAACGGCATTCCGATCCATCCCAGGACTGTATAAGGCTCTTAAATTGAGAAAAAGCTATTTTCAGTCCTGAAATGGTCAGGTAGGCTGTTCCACAGAGTAGCAGCTGCAAATTTAAAACATTTTTCTTACCAAACTGTGTTGTTTGTTGTGGGTCTTCAACGCAGCGAGAAAATCCCGCACCCGGAGGTGGGCTTCAGCTGACCTTTAAACAATAATGTATACTAGAGGAGGTCACTTTTCTGAATTGGCACTTGAAATGTAAAAATGTTTGTCTTATTTTTTTTCGCATTCGAATAAATCTCGTGTTTCTCATATATGTCGATTAAAAGAGTTTTTTTTTCTTAAATCCCGAGGTTTATTTGGGCCATGTGGGCTATGCAAGTAATTGTTATCAGTTAGGGTCCCTTGTAAAACCTACCTATTGCTTTAATTTTAAATTTGTTCTTGTCCGAAGTATGTATGAAAAATCAAATTGTCACTAACCAAACAGCAATCAATCAAGTAATAGATATCATAAAAAATAAGCGTTTAAATTTATTTCTATCCACTATCTTTTCACTTAAAACTACAATTTACACATGCTACTCTTGTTAATTCTTCTTCAAGTCTTGAAATAATTAAACTGTAACTTAATACGCAAAAGGGACATCAAAGACAAAAAGTCGCGATCAACGAAACAAAAACAAGTATACTGAAAGCTTCAAACCCTAATGAGTACACCAATTGTAATCGGATATCTTCAAAGTTAATAAAAAGTATGTCGATATGTAACCTTGTTTTAATTTTTCTATCTGCATGATTTTTCTAGCGACAAAATAATAAAATGTCTAGTCCATAGTTGCATTATCCTTTGTACAAAAAAAAAAAATTATGAAAAAAAAAAAAAAATGTGAAACAATGTTGCAACTCACTTTCAGTTAGCAAAGACCTGTTTTGATGACCAATTAAATAGTTCTTTTTGGTCTGTAACTTCAAAGAAGAAGTGTGAATCAACATCCCAACGACACAAAAACCAACCGACATTCTCATTGAGAGGATATACAAATGTCTTTAAAAAAACGTCAGAGGCCAACTCGCCCCTAATCTTAGAAAAAGTTGGAAACAAAAACAAAAACTATCAAAGATCTTCTATAAATACCAAACTTACTGCAAAACAAAAATCATGTAGATATAACTATGGATAACCGCTGACGATGCAAAGAGTTTTGGAGTTTTTTTGTAATTAACGTTTTCTTTGAAATCTTCTGATATTAGCATGATGATTAGGATGGATTGCATTTATAGGCTGAAATTAGGTTACCACAAAATAAACTTACACTAAAAAATATATTTTTTATTTTATATGTTTCCTAATTAACCATTTCATAAAATGAAGGGGATAACAATATAAGTGTAACTGATTTACTATACGACCTCAATGCTGTATTACGTGTCGGTAATGTAATAACCATTATATAAATGAACCGAAACAAACATGAAAGATTTTTCAGTTAGGGAAAATTATTGCCTTTGTACAAAACAAAAATTATAAAAAAAACACACAGTAGAAGCATGAATCAATGAATATTTTTTTTCATCTCCTTTGAGATAGAAAAAAATTCCGGAAACAAATTATTTATCTTAATATACAATTTTGATAATGATTCAATCAAAAATGATCAAGGCTAATGAATTATTTTTTTAATTCGGTGCCAAGATCACAATATTTATTTACATAAATATCAGGATAAAAAAATGTAAACAAAATTTTCAAATCTCCTCCGTTCTGGCCAAGGTCAAATTCTTCATTCAGCACGCATCGGAATATTAACGACCAATGCAATGATTTTGATCTAAATTGTAGTTAATCTGTTTTGATGTTAAGCAGTTTCTCTTTATCCATTAGCGGTTCCAAGATGATAACCATGAGTAAAAGTTCATACAAACAATCATTAAATGGCAACAACTCCAATAAGGAGACACTGGACAATTTCGATTGATTTACAGTATATATATATCTTGACTTTCCGATCATTATTTTTGTCTGCTAGATTTCCCGAATTTTCTACACTTTTCAAGGTTTTAGGCAATCATTTTCTTTTTATCTGTATGGTTTATATTTTAAAATAGTCTTGCTGGTAAAGATTGGTTGAATCACCGAGATATATTTCACAAACAATAATCTGCAAACACTAATGACTATATTCGTGTCAAGAATATAAATTGTTTTTGGTACTTTCAGAAACCAGGATGCAAATTATGGGTTAAAAATAGTCGTTTATCAGCAATGACAACCTTGGTCATGTAACTAATTTGTAGATCTTGTCTTGATTATCATTTTTGCTGTTTACCGTTTCAATCCATCTATATTTATAGTTTAAAAGACAATAAACAAAAATGCTAAAAGTGAGAAAATTGTCATTTCAGTGCAATAACTGCTATAAATTGTGAACTGATGGTCATCCTTTTGGTGTATTATTTTTCAGTCACTTTAGCAATTTGTAGATTATGCATTGCTGATAATTTTGCATTTTAAAGTTTCTGACTTCCATTTCAAATTTTGAAAATAGTAGGCAAAACAAACTGCTAACATCTGTATATTTTTTTTTCATTTTTAAGCAATAACTCCTATAATGGGTCGCCTGATAATGTTTATAGAAATTATATCGAAGTAAATCAGTAAGTCTGAACATTTTTACCACTGTAAGATTTTATGATTATTTTAGACAATTACTTGTATTGTTCATTGTAGTAATGTCGGTTGGTTGACAGGTGAAAAATCACAAACTTTATACTATATACCGTAAGGACCATTTAGGCGAAGTTTGGTGGAAATTGGTATAGGGTTTTAAATGAAAAGATGTTTAAAAAAGTTAACGACGGACTGTAAAGTGTTCTGCCGGTGTGAAGGGCAAACATTCTGACTGCCTCTAGAAAATGAGTACATGTTGGATTATGAGCTGACGTTTCGACTGGCAACAGACCACCTACGTACCCTTCACAGAGTTGCTGCAAGGGTTCTTTAACGTGCAGAGAGCGTAGCACTCTTTCTTTACGGGATCTCATATTAAACATTCCAATTCCGATCGAAATTGGCTTCGTAATTATAAAATTCTCATGTCCCACTTTAGCTAAATGTTTACTGTTGGGTGGAGAATTTCAAGGGATGATCAAATTTCTTTACCAAAGTCAAACCTTGGGTTTCTTGAGTTTTTCATGCCGAAATCCGTATATATAGCTTTTAAAGAGGTAGGGCCAATTTCCCCTGAATTTTTTTCACAGAAGGGCCAATTTCAAAAAGTGCTGAAAGAATAAAATTTACGATAAAACATGAAATAAAAATGTTTTTTGGTCAAAATCTCGATTTTTATGTATTATATTATGTCTGGAAA